TTTTTCCTTTGTGCTTTTAGTTTTTCAGACAACTGGAGAGAGAGTGGGAAAATGCCCAGACCTCTCACGGAAATTTTCCCAGAGATGTCCTCCTGACACCATTGACCAATGCAAATATGACGAAGATTGTACCGAGAATAATAAGCAGAAATGTTGCAAGATTGGCTGTGGCAAGATTTGTTTTAATCCAGGTGACCTTGCCTTAATCAGTGGTAAGTCTGTCATTAATTTAAAAATGATACTTTTTGAAGATCACGCAACTTTGAGCAAAAATGTCACCTGGGTAACTGCACTCAAAATTTTCATAGCGGGGATACTGAAGATATTTTTGTGAAGGATCTTGTTTTCCCCCATACCCTACAGGAAGTGCAGGTTTATCACTTAAAAAATGTTTGAGAAAATATAATTGGATAATAATGTACATGAAAAAAAATTATGCGATTCTGATTGGCTGATAACGAGTGCATTTTTCATGTAACACGAATGCAAATTACAAATAGCGTGCGTACCGTCAAACGTTCGTCTTTCTTGACATTCTGTAATGCTTCTTTTCATTATTAAAAAGTAATCGAATGAATTCTTATGCAACTTGGTGTAATTAGATGCACTTGTAAATTTTTCAAAGACTTCAGATTGCACTCGCCTTACGTGCAGTCGAAATCATGTTATCACCTATACTTACGAACAACGCTATTTGAAACACTTTGAATAGAAAGAACTCTGTATGAATAACCTATAAGCTATATCAAGCAAAATGTCAAATCTGAGCCAAGTCGCCGCAGATGCCATAATCAAGATATTTTTATTTTTGTCGCGAACGTCGAACTTGGAAAATCTTAGTTCCCATAAGGGAACCGTGCTTGTTAATTAAAATTCCAAATGAATTACTCACAAGGCCACAACTTTATTGATCTGTGCACGTATTAACTCTAAAAATTCTTCATGTAACAGGTAACAGTGTGTGCCCGGTTTTACCGAGGCCTAATCCGTGTCCTAACGAGCCAAATCAGTGTCTAAAAAGAGATGAATGTGTTAGTGGGAAGGAGTGCTGCTCTGATGGTTGCAGAATGATCTGTGTTCAACCCGTCGTAGTCCCAACTAAAGAACCAGCTGGTTAGTAATGAATTTCTATTATTTTTAATGATCAGGAACCCTAGTGTTAAAGAATGATAGAGGAATACGCGATAAGACAGTTATGATTCTCTTTGCCTTTTTCGAGGATTGCCTAACTGTGCGTGATATTACAAATTCAAAGTTACTTCCTAACCAAACCTTAAATAAGGTGAAACTTATCAAACTTACGATAAAGGTTCTCATCTCCAAAACGAGGAGTGGAATGGAAACGATGCTTCTCCAAAATGTTATCCTTTTAAATGAAACAAACTAAATTTTCTTAGAAACCTCTTCGCTTATTGTGGGTACCATTTGAACAAACCGCTTAGCTCTGGCGTCCGCTTCGATTCCCTCAACACCGAACTTACAGGGGAGGCACTATCTGGGTGTTGGGACCAATGCCTGATTGACATAAGGCGTTTTCTTTATATGGCGTCCACTTAATTCAGATTTTACCATAGGCTTTACTATGCGAAGTATATTCAACTACTCTTGATATCATAATTAAATTACATAAAATTGTTTTGACTTGTGCATGATGTATAAGTAACGAAATGAACCTTAATTTTACAGGCCTTTTTTCTGCAATTCCTCTTATTTCCGCAAAGATCAGTTCAGTACTTGTAGTCTGTATAAGTATGGGAATGGTAAATCTCGTCCAAAAAGCGTCTTTTGCCTTATTTTCGCAGAAAGAAAAAGTTGTAGTGCCATAGTGGACGTCGCCTTCATCATTGATTCGTCCGGGAGTATTTCCAGAAGGAACTACGGAAAAATCAAAGCGTTTGTGAAGGGCATTGCTGGAAGACTTGGCATTTCGACGAATGGTAGTCGGGCAGGTATCATCTTATACAGCACAAAAGCCTCAGTCAAAGCGTACTTCAACGACTCCCGCACCATAGAAGAGTTTAAAAGGAAGGTCGACGAGCTTCCCCACGAAAGAGGTCTTACTTACATCAACAAGGCTCTCGAACTGGCGTCATCGGAACTTTTCTCACGCGCGCGGAAAGATGTACCAAAGGTGGCAATGTTGTTAACTGATGGCGAGCAATCGAAGCCTGAGAGCACGTTAAACCTGAGAGATGCGTCCGCGCCTTTAAGGCAGCAAGGAGTGCGTGTGATCGCTTTCGGTATTGGAAAGAGAATTAATGTGCGCGAATTGCGGTTGACAGTAGAACGAGATGAAGATGTGATAAGAGTAATGAAGTTTGATGATTTGATTACCAAAGTGGGGAATTACACCAATAGTCTTTGCGAAGCGGCTGGTAAGAGAAATCAAATCTATGGTTATGACAATTTTCAAGATATGAGGTCTCCTCATAGTTTCGTTTAAATTGATCAAAGCTTTCGATCGCTGTAACAGTTTTCCCTTTTGGTGCTAAGTTCAAAACTGAATTTCCTTTATCTGATAGCCCTGAATTTCTACTTAAGACAGAAACTATAAATTAAGTAGTAAAAAATCAGATTGTTTTCTCCATTTAAGCTAGCTGAAGCTTTTTTATGGATAGGTATACACTAAATTGTTCGTGTCATTCTCACGCTTCAATCTTTTGTTCCTTTTCCCACAAAGTGACAGAACCAATCCACCCTGATGCTGACATTATCTTCTTGATGGACTCTTCCGTGGGCGTATCCAGGGAACAGTTGATTTTGCAGCAACAGTTCGTCCGTCGTTTGGCTCGTTACTTCATTATATCCCCACTTGGGCCACGTGGCGCGTTGGTCACTTATGACAGAGCTTCATTTACCGTCATAGGCTTCTCCGATTATGGAAGTACAGCAGACTTCAGTCTTAAAATCAATGACGCTCGATTACGCGGTGGCTCGCGGAGAATCGACCAAGCGCTCAATTACGCTACGAAAATGTTCCAGGACACCGGACGAGAGGGTCTAAGAATTGTTATTCTCTTGACCGCGGGTAATTACTACTCGGGACCTGGAGCTGATACTATGTCTTCTGTTGTGATGAGATTGCGCAGTATCGACGCACATTTGTACGTGATAGGTATTGGCTCCCAGTTTACACCATCAGTATTCACGCAAATGGTTCGCAAACCCAGAGACATTTTTCAAGTAGCCTCTTTCCACGATTTGGAACCATGGCAATCGCGTATCGCGAGAACTCTGAGACATACTTCGAATGCCTGTAAGTAAAGTGTCTTTCATCAGTATGGAACCTTTAAATTTCTCTCAGAATAACATTTATTTTTTCCTTTCTTGTTATTAGTTAAGTATGAACCAGCAGACTTTCGTTCAGATATAATATTTCTCATGGACTCATCAAGTTTCGTGACAAAGGAGAACTACATACTAGAAAAGAACTATGTAAAGCTGATGGCACGCCTCCTGAATCTCGCCAGTAACAGAAGCCGCGCTGCTCTGTATGCATTCAGCGACCGTCCCTCACTGCAAATCACATTTGATGGTTACGAAGACCGTGAGGCGTTCGACACAGCTGTCAACAGCGCACCTCATCTCCAAGGTGACCGCCGCATCGACAGAGCATTTGAGGCTGCAGCGGAGCTTCTGCGAACAAGATCTCGTTCATCTGTACCCAAATACGTCATTCTCTTGACAACTGGAAGGCAATCGCAGGTGGCTGATATGCGCTCCCTGAGAGAGACCTCGCAGCAGATTCGAACATATGGTGGCAGAGTCTTTGTTGTTGCTATTCTTACAGGAGGATATACTGTTCGTGACTTTTGGCAGGCAGTTCAAAGACCTGAGGACGCCATGTCCGTTCCATCGTTTATCAATCTACTTCCACGCGCCCCTTTCATGGCCTCACGTATCATGGCAACGTGGCGTAAGTTAAACTTGAGCTAACCTTGTTTTACACCGATTAGAAGAAAATAAAGAAGACTCAAAATGTCTTGCTTCACGCGCTTATTCAAGCTAATTCCTCTTTCCATGCGATTATGACTATGCTTTGTCTGATATCAGTTGTCTTTATTTTGTGTTTGTCTCTCCACATTATTTTAGCGTGCACAGCTGGCTGTATTTATTAAGGGTTGGTCGGTGGAGGAATAGGAATGATTTTCGTCTCGTCTCCTGTGGCTGTATTTATTAAAGGCTTTGGCGGCGAAACCCGTCGAGGAATGGGAATGAGTTTTCGTCTTACCCCCTCTCCTATTCATTTTGTTTATCGAGGGCTTGAAAAATCGCCCGTTTTACGAGTCATATTTCTGCCTAGGCGTGTTCATAGTTTATTCATCCTGTCTAGTGTGTTTGATCTGAATTTTTATTCCACAGGAGCCCCAGAGGCGCCAACGTTTGCCGCTGATATCGCTTTCATCCTGGACTCTTCCTCCGCAGTAACACCCTTCCAATACACTAGAGCTCAACGATTTGTCAGAATATTGTCAGAGTACTTGAACATTTCACCAGGAAAATCTCGGGGATCGTTGATCACAGTAGGAGATTCTCCTATAGTGAACTTCAACTTTGACGGCTATAACACACATGCCGAATTCAGAACTCTGGTAACCGATGCGTCATATTTGGGCGGCAGTTCTTCGATCACCAGCGCCTTAAGGACAGCGGCGACTATGTTTACTGGCGCGCGTAGGTCTTACCCCTGGCTGGTTATCCTCGTTACCCCGTGGAGACCGAGAGACATACGGGATACCAGGGCTCTAGAAGCCGCTGCTAGTCCTTTATTGAAGCGTGGGATCTGGTTGTACGTGCTATCCGTTAGTGAGAACCCGTATGTCGGTTGGCTACGTCCAGTGGTTGTGGAACCGCGGGATGCCTTTTCAGTTGTTTCTTACCGCGATTTACCAGCGAATATCGGGTCTTTGGCTGGCTATATAACAGCTGATAATTGTAAGTATACTCAATAAATACCTTTAGGATGAAATACAAAAATTTTCACTAGTGGATCCAGTAGCCTGTAATCACGAATCTATTTTTACTCGTAATTAGAAAAATTTTATTTCACGAGGTGGATATAAGAATGATGTGCTCTTGAGGTAGCCTTGTTCAATATTTCCCTCAAAATATTGCGTGATATTTCAGTGATCGATATGTTAGTGTCTGATTGGCCAAGGTCGGCCGATAGTTTAATGGTATAATCATTCGACTTATACTCGATCGACCACGTGAAATAGATTCCACTCTGCCGTGCGTCTGTGTGGTGAAAGATCACAGTTGACTTTAAAGTGCGTTCTCAAACTTCCCGTTTTTCCTACTTTTGTCGACTTTTAGGAATTTTTGCCACTTGGGCCACCTCTAAAACTTTCAAATCAAGGAGTTCTTTGAATCAGGAAAGTTTTTTTCTTTTCAAAATGCGCTTTGGAAAAACGTATTTAGTTGCATGTAAAAAAAACATGTAAGTATATGTTTTATTTTTAGGGATGACCAAAGCCTTTTACGAACTTATAAAATATTCAGAGTGTTTACTTTTTTAAAACTCAATTACTTTCTTTTTTAGATCTCTATGGAGGCTCCAAATTCCTGTTGGACATCATATTCCTGATAGATTCCTCGTCAGGCATCAATTCCAGGGACTACAGCATCGAGAAATGGTTTGTCCAAAGGATAGCAATGCACCTTGGTGTGTTCCAAGGCGAAACTGTAGCTGGTGTGGTAACGTATGGAGGTAATGCCTCAGTCGTATTCCCCCTTGGAGGCTACAGATCCAATTCAGAGTTTATTCGGCGCTTGAATGACGCTCCAAGTATGGGAGGTGTGCGACAGATTGACCGTGCTCTCGATACTGCGGCTGCTTTACTCTTAAGATCTCGATCGACTCTGCCGAAGGCGGTCGTTCTCATAACAGCCGGCGATCAAAGCACGGCACCGGGGACCATTCCCATAGGAGAAGCTTCTCGGCCTCTTCGTCAGCTGGGAGCCTGGGTCTACGTTACGGCTATTGGACGAATGGACGCCAGGGAACTGCAAAAAGTTACGATAAGACCGACAGACATGTTCTTTGCAAGTTCGTTTCCAGGACTTTATGGATTTGTCAGGCCAGTGGGTACATACGTGGCTAATACCTCGGGTAAGTAATGTGGTTATGGTATCATTATCAGTTGGCGAAAGAGTTAAATCAGCAATTCTTTCTTGAAATGTTTTCTTTGCTAATTGTACGAAGCAAGTGGACTTCCTAGACAATTATATATGGCTTAACAAGGAATATCAATACTAGGACGTTCGTTTGCGATCGAGTCTGAAATTCCTCACCTGTGACATCATCGTTCTCTTTCAGTCATAACAGGGACATCTTCCTTGAACGCAGACATCGTATTCATCATTGATTGTTCTTCAAGTGTTCTTTATCGCGAGTACCAAACACAGAAGGACTTCGTGAAGTCTCTTGCACAGTACTTAAACATCCAGCCCGGGCTGTCTCGGGTGGCGCTCGTAGTGTACGGTAGTCGAGCAATGCCCGTCCTTCGCTTCGACAGTTCCAGGACCATTGAGCGCTTTTATTCCGAGCTTGCCAAGACGCCATACCTCGGAGGACCCCGAAATGTCGACAGGGCCCTAACAATGGTCATGCAACGTATTTTCGTAGACGCCCGGGAAAACGTCCCCAAGATCGTGCTGTTGTTTATGGCGGGAAAACAGTCGGGTGAATCAGGCTCGTTAAGAGATTCAGTTCGACCGCTCCACCTACAAGGGATTAGGACTTTCATTTTCCGCATTGGATCAGAACCAGCACTGAGGGAACTTCATGCGGCTGTTGATCTTCCTGGCGATGTTTTCGAGTTTGCAAGTTTTGCAGACTTGGATTCGAAGACGGCACCATATCTGGCGAGGCACATACCTTATTCTTCGGGTATGCTTTCACTCAGCAGTTTTTGTATTATTCTTTCTTTCTCTTTTTCTTTCCCTTTTCGTTCTTTCTTTCTTTCATTATTTCTGTCTATCTATCTATTTATTCATCTATTTGTCTTAATTTATCTATTATTCTATTAACAAGTATCATTATTTCTTTTCTCTATGTATCATTATCACTGCTATTCCGCCGTCACAGGAGTTCATCACTTGATGTCAAGTGATGGGCTCCTGGACGTCACCGTTAATATAACTATTATATATATCACTATCATTTTTGTAAGCTGCTAACTCAGTCCAAGACCCAAAAAAATCCGTCCTCGATTTTTAAAATTCCGGAGACAGAGCTAGAGGGGAGGGGCGGGGAAAAGTTTCGAAAAGAATTGGTACGATATCCAGTTTTGGAAACCCCATTTATGTAACAGGAATCTTATTAGGACACTATTTCTAATGTACTCAGACGTTATATGAGATGTAAATATATATTCGAGCACATAATGTAAAGTTTGTTTTCTTTGTTTTGTTTTGTTTTTTTTTTGTCCTTTGATCTATTTTCTTTCGTCTTTTCTTTTTTTTCTGTCATATTACTTGTAATTTCCCCCATTTACCTGTAAGAACTTAGATTAGTCGTTACGTCGCCCTTTCATCTCTGTCAACGTCAGGTATTTCCTTTCCGGAGTTGATTTCAGTCAATGTCTGTTTTTGAGATATCCCGTTTTGATGATCTTTCGACAACTAGAATTTTATCCTTTTAGGTTAAAACCATACTTTTGTATGTTCTTTTAAAATATATTTCCTGGAGGGCTTGAATTTTAAGGATTTTTGGATCAGGTACAAATTGAATCTCTTGACACGTATGACGTTTTGTAAAAATGTCATCGCTCTTTTGAGCTGCGTAGATTATAAGATAACGATGAACGAAGATAAAGGGCAATCAAAATCTAAAGAGAATGTTTACAACAAGTAAATTCTAATTTAAAAATTTCGGAGATACACAAAGAGTGATTCAAGTTACACATGGACCCGAGAGTTTTGCGATCTTTACAGTCGAATGCATCATATGAACTTTCACTTAGCGACATTCTCCATTTACGTGTACCGAAAATTATTTATTACATAGATATTAAGCTTTAGGATTCCTCTCCAACATGATCTTTTATCGCACCAACACAGAATTTTCATCATGACAAATTTGTCAGGGTCCCACTGAGAGAATCGGTATTATGTGTGAACTCTCAAATTTTCGAAAAGATTCCAGATGTGTCATTTGACACGTTCTGGGTGTTCTTGAATGATTTTGCCTCTCGAGATTTCGAAATTGTGAGCGTTCATCTGAACACATTTTCCGCGTTGTTGTCTCGAATAGACGTCTCAAAGTGTCTTGAATTGACTGTACTTAATCGATTCCCCACCAGTTTCCCAAGGCAAGGAGTTGGCGCGGATGCAAACGAAACATCGATATGCCAAATGTTTTGAATTGTGTAATATTTCTAATAGGTAAAGACACACGAACAACGTTGGCCATATTTTGCCCTTCCTATAAGGTGCTTAGATTTAATTTGTATTACCCAAAACAATTTTGACATCTTTGCTTATTTTTTCAGCTTTCCTGGGACCACTCAGCTTAGCTGTGGAAGTCGTTTATCTCATTGATTCGTCTGCATCAGTGACATCACAACATTACAATGATCAAAAGACATTCGTGAAGCAATTGTCGCGATTTTTAAACAAGATGCCAGGCCGCACCAGAGTTGCTGTAATCACATACGGATCCACTGCGACCGTGATTTCGAACTTTGGTGGCACAAGCACGACTCAAGAGTTTCATAACGCTCTGGACAACGCGCCAAAAGTCGGAGGACCGCGAAGGATGGACCGAGCAGTCGACAAAGCGCGAACTGCTTTGGCAAAAGCGAGACCGGCGGTGCCTAAAGTTGTCATTCTATTGACAGCAGGAAATCAACAAGCGGGGATTCAGGCGTCGATTCTAGACACGTCGTTCAAGCAACTTTACAATCTTGGGGCTCGACTTTATGCTGTGACTATCTCTCCGCCAATCTTTTTATTGCCTTTGAGGGGCACTGCGGGTTCGGATTGGTTCCCAGTGAGGAATTTTATCGATCTTCCTCGCCATGTCGTGCCATTGTCAAGATATGTGGCCCACGATACAGGTTTGTGACGTTTATCGTTGCCAATGCTTTCCTTAAATTTTGTGTGTAATGCAAAAAGTGACGAAATGAGGGTTAACAAAGTAATCAGTCAATCGATTTCGTTTACAATTAACTATAAATTAAATTAAGACCAACAATCAACAAAGAAATATATGGTCCTGATTTGGTTTCGGATTGGAAGTGCCTAGCCATATGCTAGTCAGATACGAGCCAATTAATTCAAGTATTAGCATTGTTCGTATTTGATTACAGTTGTTATTTTCCTAAAATTTCTAGAACGTAACCTCATAGTACTATTTCCATCCTAGTATCAGTAGGCATATTCTCCCTACCGCTCTCCATAAATTTCCTGAGGTGGTTACAAGTTGGTGATCATTTTCTTTATTCTCGTGACCTTAATATGCAATTCAGGAGTGATGATGTGGGGAAAAATTAAATGCAGTTTGTCTAAGGGGTCAAATGGGTTAAAATTGATATCAAACGACGAACTCCTCAACCTCCTTAGTAAGAGAACTAAATTCCCTGTTTTGGCTGCCATACACTTCACAATGTCAAGAATGGGCTTGTGAAAATGTTCAGATCTGAAAAAAAAAAAAAAA